AATTAACATCTCCCCAACGCAAAAATACATCTTTTAGTTTTACTTACAACCTTACCTCTCTTCAACAAACAATCTGCACATTTGAGCTGCATACTGTGGCGCATATCTGTTGAATTGAAGACTGCTTCCCAACCCTGTCCTCCAAACTTAGACCTGTATAGGCATAGGGACGGCGACCAGTCCAATGATGTACGATGCATCACGTCATTGGCAACCTCGACTCCATGGGTTATGTGCGCATTCCTTCATGGGCAAGATCTTACCTGTGGAAATGAGGTTGCGTTATTGGACTGGTCACCGCCCCTATCATGTACATGCGTTTTGGGAGAAGATTTGATTGAAAAAGTGCAGATTTAGGCCGAATGAACGGGCACATTCAGAATCCTGTAGCGTTTCAAAGCAATGAAAATTTGGAACTATGAAAGACATGGAATGTGCCTCATAATTCTGGGAGTGGGCTTAAGCATGGTTAATCTAGCCCTAGTCTAATAAGACTTATCGCAAATACTGCATGGGTGATTTCGCACAATTATAGAAAGGCATTGTGAGAAGCAAAAAGGAACATTGCACCTTTTTCCTATACAAACTCCACCTCACCAGACGGTGGTCATGATGCAGAGGTCTGTGTGGCAGTGGTGATTAATATTAAGCTGTTTTTACCAACTCGTCTTAACCTTGACCCCTCCCTCCCCCGACCATGCCGACTCCTTGGGCTACGTGCTCATTCCTTCACTAGCCCCTGGTCTTGTAGAATATGAAAATGTATTAATATACATAAACGTTGCGTAAATCGCATGTGTATATCAAAAGTTACACACTCGTGCCCAGGTATTCTCCTGCACATCACGAATGCATAAATCTGTGTTGTGCGTAAACATATCAACTACAGTCCTAATTTAAATCGTCCAAACAGTGGGGTATTTGAATTATACAATACCAGGGGTTAAAATTGCACCGAGGCCAAGTGTTTTAATGTCAGTCTTGCACCATCGATACCAACTAAAAGCCTGGAAGTGTCGTGGTTAACATTGTTATCCACAAATTATTCTGAAATTTTCATCAAGAATTGCATGAGCTTACATGTAAGTTTCTTTAGGCCTCTTCACACGAGTGCCGAAAACGCACATCTGTGACAATCAGTGCCACAGCGTATGTGTCTTGCTATGTGCGAGATTTCTTCGCCGACTTTCACACGGTGCGATGTTTATCGCATAGCTGACATTCCTTGTTCCACCACGATTTGCAACTTCTGACATGTCTGAAATGGCTGAGCAAAGCAGTGATGGAAACAGCTGGATTCACATCGAAAACTGCGATATATTTTGCGCAAGAAGTGAGACAAATGTGAAATACAAATTCGCATTTTTTGTGAATGGAAATTTCTTTTAAAATCTTGCATGCGGCCGCGGCAAGCTTGCGGCACGGATCGGAAACCGGCGCCGGCCCGTTCTGTACTACTAGCGATAGCAGCTTCACAAAAACAAAATGTTTGACAAAACAAACTTGCCCTCAGTTTCTTGCCCGAATTTTGTGCAGCTTGATGCCCATGGATCGTTGGGAAACAAGGTTGTGCAATTTGGTAGGATTATATAGCACGTGTAGTTCGGTACAGTACGGTACTAGGGCACACATGGACATTCAATACGGAATAAGTGGCACCATGAACTACACGTTGGAACATACACCCCAAGTGCGATACATGTACCAGCTTTGTACGTACGTAAACACGTGTTAACTTCTGTCATTTTGCTTGTCACAGTATTTTGCCAAAATTCTGTGAAAGCAAAAGAAGATTTCCTGGACTTTTGAGGAAGCGGTGGACGTCATTAGGATGATGGCTAGGGCTGATAAGGTAGATAAAAATGGAGGAAGCCGTGCACAACCACAAGGTGTATCAACTCACAGGACCCTCGCGACGATTGCTCTCTGCATTCACACGTCCAATCACGGTGATCATAACACAGACTTCGCATCGATACGAAGTTTTGGAGGAGGTCTCGATCGCTGCGACGATCGCTCAGGACCTGTGTTATAACCGTGCGATTTCGTGACCGAGGTAGACTTTCACGTGGCATGATATCTCTGCGATTGTAACATCGATGTGATTTCATCACACAGAACCTCTGTTATCGGTGCTTGTTTGAATAGGCCTTTTGAAGATAAAGGTACATGTACGTGTACATTTATAAGCATGTGTACATGTATTACATAACTTTTGAGAGGTACATGTCT